CGGTGGCCGACTCGGGCGAGTACGTGTGCCGCGTGGGCTCGGGCAGCAGCACCCGCGAGGCCACCGTCACTGTCACGGTCTCCTCCCGCGACAGCTCCAGCTACCGTGAGTGTGGGCAGAGATGGTCTTGGGGTGAGCGCTGAGCGTGTGCCATCTCTTCCATTCTTCCTCCATCCCTTCGTTTGTCTTCCCCACAGGCCTGCAGAGCCCCATCATCTCCATCGACCCGCACAGCATGGCCGTGGCCCAGGGGGAGGACGCCACCTTCAAGTGCCGCATCCACGATGGTGCCCGGCCCATCAACATCACCTGGCGCATGGGGCCTGGCCAGCACTTCCAAGGTACKGCCATGGTCGTGGTGGTATTGCTAGAGTGGATATTGCTGTGCTGGGCATCACCATGTTGGACACTGTGGTGGATATCACTATGGGGACATTCCTCTGGTGGACATCATCATGTTGGCCAATGCTGTGGTGGTCATCATAGTGGATGTCACCATGGTGGACATTGCCATGGTGGACATCACCATGGTGGACGTTGCTATGGTGGCTGCCACCATGGTGGACACTGTAGTGGATGTCACGATGGTGAACATCACTGTGATGGGCACCAGCATGATCCCTGTTGCTGACCTTCACCTGTTCTCCAGACAATGTCAAGATCAGCCCCAACGGCTCAGTGATCTCCATTGCTGCTGCTCACGCTGGCAACCAGGGCGCCTACCACTGCGTGGCCTCCAACCGCTTCGGCCTCGCCAGCAGCGTGGTCAACCTCCTGGTGCAAGGTGGGCAGTGCCTGCAGGCACTGTCGTGGCACCATGTCCCCCCACTGCATCTCATACCCTCCCCTTCCCTCCTTCCAGGTGCCCCCACGGTGTCGGTGATGCCGCCAGGACCTGTGACGGTGAAGGAGGGCAAGTCCATCAGCCTGGAGTGCCTGGGCCGGGGCGAGCCGCGGCCGCTGGTGCGCTGGAGCCGCGCGGGCTCGCGGCACAAGCTGGAGCACCAGACGCTGCTGCACAYGGAGAGCCAGGCCGTGCTGCAGCTGGCGCCCGCCAAAGCCGAGCACAGCGGCACCTACGTGTGCACAGCGCACAACGCCCTGGGCACCGCGCACGCACACGTGGCCGTGAGCGTGGAGACAGCCCGCCGGGCGCCCGGCGCCCCCGAGGTGCTCGCGGCGCCCGCCGTCACCGTGGTGGCCGGGGACACGGCCACGCTGAGCTGCACCGCTGCAGGTAGGGGTGTCCCCTGCTGCGATGGGGACGCCTGGTGCCCGCAGGGACRCCCCGGCGCTCACCAGCCGCTCCGTGCCCGCAGGCGACCCGGCGCCCACCATCGAGTGGTCGAAGCTGCGGGCGCCGCTGCCCTGGCAGCACCAGCTGCTCAACGGCTCGCTCGTCATCCCCCGCGCGGCCCAGCAGGACTCGGGACAGTACATCTGCAACGCCAGCAACGCCGCCGGCTTCGCCGAGGCCTTCGTTGTCCTGGACGTGGAGAGTAAGGCAGGCGCGGGGCGCCACGTCCCTTCCTCCTACCGGCCCTTTCTCCATCCTTCCTTCCATCTGTTTCTTCATCTCTCCTTTCCATCTTTCCTTCTGTCCATTCTTCCTTCTGTTCATTTCTCCATCCATCCATCCATCCATCCATCCATCCATCCATCCATCCATTTCTCCCATCCTTCCCTCCTGCCATCCATCTCTCCTTCCCTCTTTCCATTCATCCCTCCTTCCATCCTTCCTTCCACCTCCCCTCCTTACCTCCTCCCTTGTTCCAGCCCCCTCTCTCCATCACCATCCCGTCCCTCCAACCATCCCTCCCTTCTCCCCCTCCGCTCGCCCATCCTTCCCTTCCTCCCCTTGCCCCCACACCCCTCCGCTTCCCACTGCCCCGTTCTACCCATCTCGGCTGCCCCTCCTCAGATCCTTCCCCTCCACGCCGCTCCCCGTGCGCGTGCCCGTCCCTCCCCSTCAGCCGCCAACCCTGCCCCGTGCCCGCAGCGCCGCCGTACGCCACGAGCTTGCCGGAGGAGAGCGCGGTGCGCGCGGGCGACGCGCTGCAGCTGCAGTGCCTGGCGCACGGCACGCCGCCGCTGCGCTTCCACTGGGACAAGGTGAACGGCAGCCTGCCGGCGCGCGCCGCCCGCCGYGACGGCCTCCTGCGCATCAGCCCCGCGCTGCCCGCCGACGCCGGCACCTACCGCTGCCTCGTCTCCAACCGCGTGGGCACCGCCGAGACCTTCGCCCGCGTCGCCGTCCACGGCGAGCCCCCAGGTGAGCTCCCTGCTCCCGCCGTGCCCGTGTGGCGCTGCCGCTGCTCCGGGGCGTCACGGCTTGTCCCCTCCGCGCCGCGCAGGTGATGCCGATGTGGTGTCCGCCGTCCCGCCCACGGTGCGTGTGAGTCCCCGCAGCCTCGTGCGGGGCGCGGGCGGCACGGCCGAGTTCTCCTGCGCCGTGGCCGGGGACCCCCGTGCGCGTGTGCAGTGGCTCAAGGACGGCGGCGAGCTGCCCCCCGGCAGCAGCGTGCGGGATGGGCTGCTGCGGTAAGGATGTCACCAGCGGTGGTGTGGGGGGCGCTGGGGCCGCCGGGGCCACCTCTGCAGCATCCCCTTCCCCTCTCCCTGCAGCATCCACRACCTGGAGCGTGCAGCCCAGGGTGTCTACACGTGCCGCGCCAGCGGCCCCGGCGGGCAGGCCGAGGACAGCGCCACGCTCTCCATCCAGGGTAGGAGCCCACGGCCACCTTGGTACCCCCTCCAGTTCCTCCCCACATCCCTGGGCACCCCAGTGCCCCCTGTCTCTCAATACCCCTGGGACCCTCCATTCTCTCTCTGTGCTCACAGGCATCTCTTTATCCCCTTCCTTTCTCCTGATACCCCTGGGACCCTCCAACCTCTCACCATCSCTGGGGGCACCCCGGGACCCCGATTTCCCTCTGTGCCTGTTTCGTTTCTCCCCAAAATGCTCCGATTTCTCATGCGTGTCCCTGCCGTCTCTCTCGGCGCGCTCCAGCCCTGCCCCGGGCGCTCATCAACATCCGGACGGCGGTGCAGACGGTGCTGGCGGGCACCACAGTGGAGCTGGAGTGCCTGGGGCTGGGCGAGCCCAAGCCGCACGTCACCTGGAGCAAGGTGGGCGGCCACCTGCGCCCCGGCRTGCTCGCCAGCGCCGGCACGCTCAGGATGGAGCGCGTGGAGCGCGCCGACGCCGGGCAGTACCGCTGCACTGCCGCCAACGCCGTGGGCACCGTGCAGTCCCACGTCATCCTCCACGTGCAAGGTGAGCGCCCGCCCCGCGCCCYCTGCCCGCTGCTGCCCCCGGTGCGGTGGCAACCACGGCTCCCGCTCTCCCCGCAGCCGCCCCGCACATCGCTGGACAGCCTGAGGTCAAGGAGGTCTCGGTGGGCTCGGCAGCTGTTTTTCCCTGCCTGGTATCCGGCTTCCCCGTCCCGGATGTAAAGTGGAGCAAAGTGAGCGGGAGCCGGGAGGGCTGCGGACGGGGTGGGGGTCCAAGCGCCCATGGGTGCTGAGCCGCTGTCCTCGCTGCAGCTGGAGGGGGAGCTGCCGGCGGCCGCGCGCGTGGAGGGCACCGAGCTGACGGTGCCGTCCGTGCGCGCCGAGGACGCCGGTGTCTACGTGTGCACGGCCACCAACCGCCGCGGCCAGGAGACGGCTTTCCACGTGCTCCGCGTGCGAGGTGAGGCGGCGCGGGCCCGCGGGTGCCGGCGGGCCCTCGTGCCGCTGCCCGTGGTCACCGTCCCCGCGTGTCACCCTGCAGAGCGCCTGGTGCCCTACTTCACGCAGACGCCYCGCTCCTTCCTGCCGCTGCCCACCATCAAGGACGCCTACAAGCGCTTCGAGATCCGCATCACRTTCCGGCCCGATGCTGCCGACGGTGAGCGCCCGGCCCCGCGCCGTGCCGTCGCCTCCGCGCCGACCCTCTCTCATCTGCTCTGTTTCTCCTCCTCCATCTCTCTGCCCGTCTGTCCTTCTCCTCTCTCCTTTAGCTCTTATTCTCTACTCAGGTGAGTGGCCGCGGCGCCCGCCCGGCTGCCCCCCTGCGGGGCCGTGGCCGGTGCGGCCGCTCGCCCGGACACGGTCTGCACAGCCTCACGCTCTCTCCCCACACAGGCATGCTGCTCTACAACGGGCAGAGGAAGAGCAGCGGCGCCGACTTCATCTCCTTCGGGCTGGTTGGCGGGCGCCCCGAGTTCAGGTGGGGRTCGCTTAGAAGGGGGGACGCTTGGGGACGCAGTGGGACCGGCACCCACTGGGCGCTCTCGCCGCAGGTTTGACGCCGGCTCRGGCATGGCCACCATCCGGCACCCGACGCCGCTGCGCCTGGGCGAGTACCACACCGTGCGCCTCCTCCGCAACCTCACCCAGGGCTCCCTGGCCCTCGACGGCTTCCCGCCCGTCAACGGCACCTCGCAGGTACCCACACTGTCCCCAAGGCGCCACCCATCCATCCCTCTATCTTCCCCTCTATCCGTCCCGCTACCCCTGCATCCCCACTGCTGCGCTCCCGCAGGGCAAGTTCCAGGGGCTGGACCTCAACGAGGAGCTCTACCTGGGCGGCTACCCTGACTACGGCGCCGTGGCCAAGACCGGCCTCAGCAGCGGCTTCGTGGGTGAGCGGGCGAAGGGGAGGGCGGGCGCCCGGCCGGGGCCGGCGTGTGGCTGAGCGGCCGCCGCGGTGCCGCCGCAGGCTGCGTGCGCCAGCTGCTCATCCAGGGCGAGGAGGTGACGTTCAGCGAGGCCCAGCTGCGGGCGCAGGGCATCGCCAACTGCCCCACGTGCCAGGACCAGCCGTGCCAGGTGAGCGGCCAGGCCGGGGGCGGCGCGGGACGGGGGGGGGACACGCTCGCCTGACACCCCCAGGGCTCCTCCGCAGAACGGCGGCGTGTGCCAGGACGCCGAGAGCAGCGCCTACGTGTGCCGCTGCCCGCCCGGCTTCACCGGCAGCAACTGCGAGTACTCGCAGGCCCTGCACTGTCACCCGGGTGAGTAGGGGACCGCGGGGGACACCTGGCCCCCCAGGGGCTCCCCACCGTCTCACCGCCGGCTCCCTCTCGCTGCCAGAGGCTTGTGGACCCGATGCCACCTGCGTCAACCGGCCCGACGGACAGGGCTACACGTGCCGCTGCCACCTGGGCAAGTCGGGGGACAAGTGCATGGATGGTGAGTGTTGGCACGGGGCGGCGCGCGCCGCTGCGGCGACGTGGGCGCAGTGCTGCAGGAGAGGGGTGTTGCCCCAGAATGGTGGGCGCAATGCTGTGACGGGCGCAAGGGAATGGATATTGCCCCTGGGAAGCAGGTGCAGTGGGCTCGGGGATCGCCCTGTGGGTCCCACGGTGCCAGGCTGAGGTGCCGCCGGTCGTCCCTCCCCTCCAGGCGAGGCCGTGAGTGCCCCGTCCTTTGACGGGGAGGGCGCCTTCATCTCCTACCCGCCGCTGACCAACATCCACCACGAGCTGCGGCTGGACGTGGAGTTCAAGCCGCTGGCAGCCGACGGGCTGCTGCTCTTCAGCGGGGGCAAGGCCGCCCCCGTGGAGGACTTCGTGGTCCTGGCCATGGCCGGCGGGCACCTCGAGTTTCGCTACGAGCTGGGCTCAGGTAGGCGCTGGGCACCACTTAGGTTCCCTGGCATCATTGCCGTGGCCCCGGGGTGCCAGTGAGATCCCTGGACATCATCGGTGTTCCCTGGCATCATTGGGTTCCCCTGGGCACCACTGGATTCCCTGGGCATCATTGGAGACCCTGGGAACTGCTGGGATCCCCTGGGAGCTGCTGGGGTTCCTGGGCATCCTTGGGATCCCCTGGCAGCTCCTTGGATGCCCTGGGCATCATTGGGATCCCCTGGCAGCTCCTTGGATGCCCTGGGCATCATTGGGATCCCCTGGCCACTCCTGAGGTTCCTTGGCATCATTGCAGTCCCTGGGCACCACTGCGGTCCCCTGGCAGCTTGTTGGGTGCCCCGGGCATCATTGAGGTCCCCTGGACAACGCTGGGGTCCCCTGGGAATTCCTGGGTTCCCTGGGCATCATCGAGGTCCTTGGACACTACTGGTATCCCATGGGAGCTTCTGTGGCCCTCTGGGCATTACTGGGGTCCCCTGGGCACTACTGGAGTCCTCTGGGCATCACTGCAGTGCTTGGGCATCACTGAGGTCCCATGGACATCTCCTTGGTCCCCCGATGCCATCAGTGCCCCCAGACTATCCCCGACGCGGGGCGCCAGTGTGGTGTGTGCCCGGGGGTGCCTCTCCTCGGCGTCGCCAGCCCGGTGCCGGTGCCGACCCGCGGCGCTGCACCGCGCGGGGAGCCGTGGGCGCTGCCATGCGCGCTGTCCCGCAGGCCCCGCGGTGCTGCGGAGCACCGAGGCGCTGGCGCTGGGGCGCTGGCACCGCGCCACGGCCGAGCGCCTCAACAAGGACGGCACGCTCGTGGTGGACGGCGGCGCGCCCGTGAAGCGCTCCTCGCCGGGCAAGAGCCAGGGCCTGAACCTGCGCACGCCGCTCTACGTGGGCGGCGTGGAGCCCGCCATGCGCCTGCCTGGCGCCGCCAACGTCAGCGCCGCCTTCCGCGGCTGCATCAGCGAGGTGAGCCGCCCGGACGCCCGGGCCCGCGCGGGGCCGCCGCGACACCTCACCGCTCCCCCAACTGCTTCCTCGGCAGGTGTCGGTGAACGGGAAGAAGGTGGATCTGTCCTACAGCTTCCTGCAGAGCCGCGGCGTGACGCAGTGCCAGGAGAGCTCGCCCTGCGAGCGCGCGCCCTGCCGCCACGGGGGCCGCTGCGTGGCCGGCGCCGCCGCCGGCACCTTCCACTGCCTGTGCCGCGAGGGCTTCAGCGGTGAGCGCGGGGCCACCGCGACGCTTGCGGGGGGGTTGCCAGGGCGGTGGTGACACCCGTGTCCCCAGGGCCCCGCTGCGAGCTGGCCGATGACCGCTGCCTGCTGGGCAACCCCTGCCTGCATGGTGGCACCTGCAAAGCCAACACCTGCCACTGCCCCGAGGGCTTCACCGGCGCCTACTGCCAGCACAGTGAGTGCTGGGGACGCAGCGGGGACRCGCTGGGGTGGGGACGTGGTGGGTGACACCGAGTTGACACCCTGACACCCTGCACAGACTCGGCGCTGGCAGAGCTCGACCACGACTGGGCGCAYGAGGGCAGCGGTGGCAATGGTAGGTGGCTCTGCACTGGTGCCACGACCCGTGTCTGGGCATCCCGACCCCTGTCCGTGCRTCTCCGCTCCCCCGTGTCCCCTCCGCTCACCCGTGTCCCCTCCACAGACGCCCCTGGGCAGTTCGGCGCCTCTTTCCGCGACGGCGCCTACCTGGCCTTGCCCGGCCACGTGTTCCCGCGTGGGTAAGTGGGTGGCGCGGCGCGGCGTGGCGTGGCGCGCTGGCGCGTCCCGTGACGCCCGCGCTCCCCTTGCAGCACCCCTGGAGCGCCCGAGACGCTCGAGCTGGAGGTGCGCACGGGCAGCGCGCACGGCCTGCTGCTCTGGCACGGCGCGGTGAGTGCGGCGCCGCGCGGCTGTCCCCGGCTGTCCCCGTTGTCCCCGTTGTGATCGGCCCTGCTGTGTCCACAGGAGCCCGGAGAAGGCGGCAAAGCCAAGGACTTCATCGGGCTGGGTCTCAAAGACGGGCACCTGGTGTTCAGGTGAGCGGGGCGCCCGCGGCGCGGCCCCGCTGCCCTCGTCCCTGCGCTGAGCCCACCGCGCTCTTGCAGCTACCAGCTGGGCAGCGGCGAGGCCACCATCGTCTCCGAAGACCCCATCAACGACGGCGAGTGGCACCGAGTGACGGCCACCAGGTGAGGCGCAGGGCGTGCGGGGACGGGGATGGTGCCGCGGTGGCGGCGCGGGCAATGACGGGTGTCCCCGCAGGGAGGGACGGCACGGGTGGCTGCAGGTGGACGGTGAGGAGCCCGTGCACGGGGAGTCACCAGGCACCAAGATCATGGCCAACACCGAGGGTGACATCTACCTCGGTAGGAGACTCCCTGGGGGAATGRGGCATAGGGAGGGCACGGAGGGATGGGACACAAGGTGGGCTTGGATGGGATAGGGGAATAGATGGGATATCAGATGGACATTGATGGATGGGACATGGGATGGGCATGGATGGAATATGGGGTGGTAATAGATGGGATATCGGATGGACATTGATGGATGGGACATGGGATGGTTCATGGGATGGGCACAGGGTGGTCATGGATGATTCAAAGGGTGGGCGTAGAGTGAGAGAACAAAGGGTGGGCAGGGGGTATCCATAGATGGATGGGACAYGAGGTGGTCGTGGATGGGTGGGACATGGGGTGCGCGTGAATGGGACCCAATAAAGCGTGGATGGGACATGGAATGGTGGAYGTAGATGGGACATGGAATGGTCATGGATGGATTGGATATGGGATGGTCACAGACGGATGGGAAACAGGGTGGGCATGAATGAGACCTAGGTGGGCATGGATGGGACATGGAATGGTGGATGTAAACGCGGCATGGCAAAGGGCATGGATGGATGGGACATGGGGTGGTCATGGATGGATTGAACATGGGGTGGGCACGAATGGGACCCAGTAGGGCAGGGAT